TATGCAACGTAGGTAGCTAGTTGTAATGGTGGCAGCACGTTGTCGCCATTTTGTCAGCGGAAGTTAAATTTATGCACATTCAGTGAATTTTTTTTACAATATTTTTGTTTGCTAGATTAATTTTAAAATAAAAGGTATGTGACTTTGTCAGCTGCTTTTCTTAATGGAAAATATCTTTCCGTTTTTGCTTTGCTTTGACTTCGGAATTGTCATTTCTGTGTAATGTTTTCCTTTTTTTTTTTGTGGGAAGAAGATATTTTTAATTTATAATTTTGAGCGTTTGATGTGTTTTAGACAAATAGATTTGAATGTCTACAGTTCTAAGTATTTAAAAAATGCTTATCAAAAAATTTGCTGACGTAAAATCAACATTCTTTGCTGATTGGATTTTAAACCACTGGCCAAAATCCCACCAAAACAACCTTTGATAACATTCACAGTTTCCTCATTATGTGATATGTCACCAAAAAAAAATTTTCTGTTCCATGTCAAGTTGCTCGAGGATTCCAATACCATGTTCCCACTGCAGTGAAGTTAATTTACATTTATCAAATTCAACGATTGGATCGTTTCCATTGACATAAGTTGATTTATGCTTGTGAAAGAGCTTTTATGTGTCAGAAAGTGTCAGAAAGCTTTAGCTTTGTATTGTTAGCGGAAATTAGCAGATTGATCATAGTTATTTATAAAAAAAATTTTAAAAAAACTTGTTTTTTGTTAATTTATATTTTGTTTCACAAGTGAAACACGTCAAATTGCTATTATTTCACTTTTGGGTATTACATTTTGCAATGTTGCATTCGATTTTTTTAGTGTGATTATCCAAAATTAATTCTTAACTAAGTTCGAAAGCACGATAGCTGTTTGTAAGGTCAACTAAGATCAACTTCATTAGCAAACTTAACCACACTATTTTAACTGCTTTAATGTAGACAAAGGACACATACTATAATACAGGTAAGATTAACATAGAACCAAAAACCGCATTACGCTACGAAACCTAGCTTATGAATAAAATAATCACAAAACACAAAATGAATAACTCTATGTAGTCCTAAAACCATATGTAAGCCTGACACTCCATAAGGTCAGGTTAGAAACACAAAATGGATAATCCAGTGTAATCTTAACAATGCATAAGGTTAGCCTAGAACCACAGAATAGGTAGTCCTGTGTAATCATAATAGGGCATAAGTTGTGGTTCAAAACACAAAATGGATAGCACTATATAATCCTAACACTATGTAAGGTAATGTTAGACCCACAAAATAGATAACCCTATGTTATTCTAAAACTACATAAGGTGAGGGGAGAAATAGAAAATGGGTAACTCCATGTTATCCTCACACTGCATAAGGTCAGGTTAGAAACACAAAATGGATAATCCAGTGTAATCTTAACAATGCATAAGGTTAGCCTAGAACCACAGAATGGGTAGCCCTGTGTAACCCTAACATTGCATAAACTGAGGTTAGAACCACAATTTGCACGACTCTCTGTTATCTCAATACTACTCTGTTATCTCCAGATTATGTTAGAGGCACCAAATGTAAGACTCTGTGTAATCTTAACACTACATAAGTCTAGCTTAACCTAGTTGCCCGTAAGCCGTACATAGACCAATTGGTCCTTAGCGATACCAGATAAAGCTTTACTTAATATAACTTTGTAGGAGGGATCATGTAGGATGTCAACTCCATTTACAAATTTTCGCAGTCCTTGGAGCTTTTCAAACTTTTCAAGTTTTAAAGTCCCCAAGCAATATGCGCTTATTATTGTTTGGCATGAGTATATGAGTTCCAATGCAATTAATTCATAGCTTCAAAATTATTTCTGACACAAAACTTTGAATAGGAAAATAATTATGTAAATCAATTACAAAAATTGTTTTTTCAAATATCGACACGGATCGACACGCAGGCACGGATGCTGCGAGGATGCCGCAGCAGCTGCTAAAACATTGAGTGCAGCTAATTTAACGTTAAAGTGACATAAACTAATCAAATGCACTTTGCGAGGCTTCAGCTGGCGTCGCAACTTTATTAACAAAAGCGGCTTGCGTGACAAACTGCTGCTTTTCCTGTATTTATCAGTGCGACGTGTCACGCATGCTGTACGCGTAGTTCGCTGTCAGTAGAGCAGTAGAGTTGCAGGCGCGTGTGAAACACATTTTTTAATTTTGTAAAAACATTTCAATAAACTATGGAGCAGCAGAATGCGCCGGGAAGAAAGAAAGTGCATATCCAAAAATGTAGATCTTAACATGCATACATGCATGCATGCGTGCCGTATTTCCAGCTCCATTCTCTTCAGCTCCATATTTCTCAGCCATTTTTTTCCGTTATTCATATTTATATGACTTTTAATGCGATTTCTTCTGACTCCGTATTGTACATTTCACAGTATAACGGGAAAGTGTATTTTATGTTGCCTTGAATCTTGGCTTCCATGTACCTGATTTAATGGCGCTGCACGTTGCTGTTGTACTTTCCACATAACATATTTTGACATCCTTTTCGGCATTAAAAGTAGTTAGCAGAAGACGCTAATGCACTTTCGTAATTGCGCATACAAAGAACAAAGTTGGAAACTATTTTTTCACACCCACTTTCTCGACTTCCAATTTCTTAACATTGGTCATAATTTTGTTGGCGTATTGAAAGCCATTGACAGCAACACCTTACCACTTCCCATTGGTTGCACATCTTAGTCTTATTCCCGACTCTTCGACTCTTTTGCAATTTTCCAAGATTGTCATAAAAGCACAACAACAACAAAAAAACAACTGACGAAAATATCTTGTTTAAGTTCGCTTTTTGTTGGGCATAAAAAATTGAAAACTTTCAAGTTCTTGTATAAATCATGTTCAAAGTTCAAAGTACTTCTAGAGTTCTCTAGAACTTCTAGTATTTCTCCTTCTTTTAAAATATTAATTCTTATTTTTGATTAAATGCCGCAAACAGTTATCAAAACAAATGTACTGAGTTAAGGCCGAAGTACACTCGTAAGTTCATTGCATATGACCTGAGTTCAAAGTTCAAACTCAAGGAGGAGGAAATGTAAAAGTTTTTCTGGTATTGTGGAAAGAGTTCAGTAAATGTTTCATCTGCTACATATTTTAACTATAAGTGTGAGAATATTTTATAGCCAACATATCCGACCACCAACACTTTATTTGAACACTTTATTTAAGACAAAAGGCATAATAGATCTGCGAGTATTCAGATGGCAGAGCTTTCTGGTCTTTAAGAACATACAGGAAAAAAGATGTAATAATAATCTATTTGCATTAGGAGCATATCGATTTCATGCAGAAAATTTTTTGCATATTTATGTGTAACCATGTGCTTGGGGAGTGCCCGGCACTGATGCATAAGCGAAAGAAACACCTAGGAGGGTATTTCATGGATCATAAGGATTCAAGACTGGGGAACTGTCTTTCATTAAAGAAATCGGACTTGGAGAAATACTCTAACCCGACAAAGGGGCACAATAGATCTTTTAGGTCGCAGTGCACGATCCCTTACTCAATAATAATGTGTAACTTGTTCGTGAGAAAAACGAAATTCGATCTGTTATTAGATATCTATAAATAGGAAATTTTCGGACTTTCAGAAACACGTAGTTGTTCTCGCAATAAGCAGCATCTTGAACTTTCTGACAAACATATCAGGCTTTATATTCTTAATATTCCTTCACGATTTTCAATCAATTATTCTAACTAACTAACTATGGTCCTCGGAGTCTTCAGAGTGTGACAAGATATCCACCATCCACAGTTAAAAATTCTCACATGTATTTTATGTTGGCTTGCTTAAACTATTTTATTATACAAGAGCATAGAAACTATTTAAGCGAATGCATTTTTAGTCAAAGTCTACCAAACACGGTAAATAGCGCTAGGATTGATTTCTCATGTGCAGAAATTCATGTTAAACTTTCCAAATTGCAGTCAGGGAGTACGCTAATAGTCTTAATAAACCCTTTAATTTTTATAAGACGTTTATCTAATATTATTTGTTAAGTCAGTTTCATACTTTTGTATAATATATGTTGTGAAATATAATCTTATACAAAACTTAGTTTTAATACGATATTACTATTATCTTGGAAGAATCATATATTTGTTAAGATATCCTGAGTTTTATTTATAAAATTTTATATTGAAGTATAACTACAATCAATTTAGTAAACAAATGACATACCCACTACAGTTCCATGCGGTAACGAGGTGACAACTTACCAACCCATCTTAATATCTAATCTAACCTAGTATACAAATGAAGTGTTTATATATACCATATTTTAAGTGCCAATTTCTTATCTATCCGATTTGAACTATTTAAAACCCAAACCAATCAACAACTTTGGTTGATTGATCAGAATCAACATTTTGATTTAAGTTAGAAAGCATTTTCTTGGTTAGGAACTCTCTCGTCTATATGATATTACAAAATCTTTATTTTGGCTTTCATTCTAAAGGTTTAGTGGTTTTCTTTTCGGTTGGAATCATTTAATATAAAAGAATTGTAAGGATCAATTTTAATTTCTATATTCTTCTATTAGCTTGCTAGGTTGATCTGATTCGCAAAAATATGCTACATAGAGACTTCAAGGTTTATAAAGATACTAATTAGAGATTTGATTAATAAAGTTGTAGTCTTATTAAGATCTGTGTGGTCACTACAAGGCTCAGATTGAAAATAAAGAAACTGAATTTTACAACTATCTACAACTTAGTAAAAACGCTGACCAAATTATATAATTTTTACGTCGAGTTGACTAGTAAGTCAACATTTGTCGACTGATGATTATTAAAATAATGCTCCGATGAAAAACAATTGGATTGCATGAGAAGGGGATATGTAAGCCTCAACAATGCGTTTTATGACAAAATAAGTAAAAATAATAGATATTATTATGATTCATATAATAATCTATATAAGGAGTTATAGTCGCAATTTCTTTCAATTATTCTTTATTTAAACATTTGACTTCATTAAAACAAAATACATATTATTTGGAAGAACGCCATTGTAAGTTTTTCGATTGACTCCATGGAATATGAACAAAAAGAAATCACCCACTAGTCATTCGCATGTTCGTAATCGCAATCTCTACAGTTAGGCTGGAAAATATTTGAAGATTTTGAGAGTTCGAAATAAGCCATTTGGAACTAAAAGGAATGTTATTTGGAAGAAATGAAATCAGTTTTTTTACTTTAACAAATATCATACCACTTACATGATAAGTAATCTTCTATAAGAACTTTATACCAGTAATAAGTTCTGAGATAGATTTGCTTTCTTTCATTTTTATACGCCTAGCAGTGACTGAGGAAGCATTTTTAGGCATATTCACTTCGATATTCAACTCATCATAGCGCTCTGTTAGCTGATATATATTATCTATTTTTTTTATAACATTTCTTTTTTGAAAAATTTTTATCATTTCATTTGATGAAATGGCAATCTCTTCCGGAGACTTACGTATACATTTCTGATCTGCTTTCGTGTTGTCGCTATTATTGGTGTCAATCGTTATCTTCTCAATCGATTCAATTTCTGAACGATTATCAACAGTGCACTTCTTCTTATTTTTCTTTATATAATCGGGCAGATTATTTACTGTTGACAAAAACAGATCAGAAATTGGGCTTTCGTTTGTGTCCTTCTTTCTATACAGACTTATTTTATTGACTTTTGTCTCTTCTCGATTATTCGTAGATGCAGCAATATATCCTTTAGTCACATATTTAGTAAAATCTTCTAGTATTTTTTTTAAAAGTTCATCGTTACATATATCAGATGTATGAGTTGTTTTTGATCCAGTTTCATCGTATCGTATGGGATTTGTGAAACGATTCGAAGAATTATAGATTTTACACAAATCTATGTTCTTTCTTGTCAACATTTTACACAGTTGATTTCCATATTCTTGAGTCAGGTCAATTTTTTTCCATATACCAGGCTTATTTTGATGTTTAATCCATTCAACTAATTTTGCGACAACCACCTTATTGTTCTTGATGGTTTCATCCATTCTCCAGTATCTGTAAGGTAGAATACGATTCTCGTTTGTTAAATGTTCGCTTGGACCTTCTGAGGAAATTTGCTTATTCATTTCCTTGTACAAGAACTTGCGGACCAAGTTAAGCATTATGCTACTTGCTTTACTCGACATTTTGACGGAAAACCTATCAAAGTAAAATTACGGGTAATACGAATTTTGAAAGAAAAATTACATATTTTTCTTCTCTAACAATTTGAAATATACACTAATGAATTTAAAAATATATGATTTTAATTTTTAAAAATTTATTAAGTTATTTTTAACAATTTCTTAGGTTACTAACATTTTATAGGATATGAATAAAGGAAAGTGGCAGTAATATATGTTATAATATTCATGATTATAAATAAGATAGTATTTATGTGCAAAATTAAGTTTATTCCTTGAAATACTTTTCGAAACAAAGTTATTCGATGTGTTGAAGAACGCGTACTACCTATAGATACGAGAAAGATATAGATTCAGAAAGATTAAAATTAAGTTTAAGTACTTAATTACTTCATATGATCTCTCTTCAAATGATCTTCCGAAAATATAGATCTCCGAACTAAATAATGAACTGATGAATATTTTTTAATTCAAAATTGGATTAAAACAGTCCCTGATCAATTTTCTGAGTAACTTTTATCTCTCTATATAGTTTATTTGTGCGGTGGCTATTCTGAATTAAATTTCACAATTTTGAACTTTCGAAGTCCTCTAAGGAATTTTTAAATTAGTTCTAACTATATTTTATACTTTGATTTTTATAGGATTTCAAATATTTTATTTTATACGTTATACTAATTTCTTTCTATATATTTTCATATCCAGTAGATATTCTCTCGTTAACAACCCGTATGAACTGTTGAACTTCGTAGTTAAAAAAGAAGACCAATTTCTTTATCTATATATTCAGATACCATATACCATATATACAAATATTTTCTTAGCATATCAAATAAAATTTGCTATATATGCTCTTCATAGAGGTTAGCAGGACTTCTGATAAAAACAAATTTTATGGATCAAAGAAGATTAATGTGAAACCGCTGTCTATTAAATACTTGTTTTTTATGAACTTCTGAGCCGATTGAAGTTTCAAAAACAAATCTTGGCTTGTCCATATATAAAAAAAAAATTATTATATCATACGACATTTTATACCTCACCTACTATTTAAATATGCATTATTCTAAGAAAAGCTTTAAAACTACATAAAATTCTTTATTTAAGGATTTCTGAGTATCTATTGTAAATTTAGCCAAGTATCCTTTGGAAAGTATTCTAGTTGGCATTCAACAAGCCTACATTGTTTGTTCTTAAGTCATTCTTACAGAGCCTTAGATATATTGAAATGAAACGTTTGTATATAAGTTAAGCAAAAACAATATTTAAAACTTTTTTATATCTATATCTTCATCTAACACTTTCCAAATGTAGTCAAAAATATATAGATGCACTGAAATAATATTATCTGATATTAATTGATGGTCATTTGTGGGGTTTCCGTTAGTGGGAGCCGATATAAGTTCGTTGGGTTTTCTTTAACGATATATATTGTGAAATACATTGTTTATATGAAATGAAGTTTTAATAGAAAATAACACTTGTCTTTAGAAATTGATTATTCACTTACCGATTTGAGTCAAGGCAAAATTATAGTCTTGGTTGGCAATGTCGCGCTGCACTAATGCCATATTAAAATATAAGTACAATCACTTTAAAAGACAAATAAAGTGTTTACTTATAATATATTTCTCGAAGAAGATTTGGTAGTGCAGTCATATTTTTGCTGAATGCTTCCTAATAGTACTAAAAGGATTAATATGATTGCAATGATGATGTACGAACTGAAGGTTAAGCTATGTCATTGTGATGGTCGATCAAATCGATCATTTCTTTAAGATCCAATGGATGCATTGTGATATTATATAGGGCTATATCATGAAGTCCGAATAAAACAATGAATTATTTCTTCATCTACATACAAGCCACCTGTTATATCTACAAATCTTCATACATATCGCTGTACAAGATCGCCGAATATAAGAGGTGGCTTACTCTAATTGAAAGTTATTAGCTTTAATTACTTTTTCATTACAAAATTTTAATTTTTTTTTAATTGAAATCGTGAGGTCATTAAAAACAATATTAATATTTTTGGCCAAATGTGACGCGTCTCATAACAGAAAGAAAACTAGAAGGGTTCGAACATTAATAAAGAACAACAACAAAACTTTTATTAATTTATTGAAATTTGGCTAACCACACAACGTTGTTTCGATTATTGCCAAGTATTCATCATCAGTGATATTAGTAAATACTCGAATTTCTATTTAATTATTTTATAGTATGTATAAAAATTGTTGGACTGCAAGTGCCAGGCTTGGAACTCGTGCCTGTCGTATTAGGCACGATGGCAAATCGTAGACTCCATAGAGTTTAATTAAAATCTTTATAATTGTTTAATGTTTGTAAGAACTTAATAATACATTCACAAAAAAATTGTTGTTTCTTTTTCAATATACATGTATATATGTATATATATATTGAAGTATTGGAGAGAGTGTCTCTCCAACACGTATGGCTTGCAGTTCAGAATACCAGAAGAAAATAGTGATTTCTCAGCATTTATATACTTTGTAATTAGTTTAATGTTACTAGTATAAGATATTTGATCTAATCAATAACTATATTTTTATACTAAAAACATCACTTCACTACTAGTGCAATTGTTAAAATGAATTTATTTTTATCCTTCACACAGAAATAATTTTTTTTTTTGGCTTTTTAAAGATATTTGGTGCATATAAGCAATACCTTGGCTCCACAAGGACTGTGGCTATAGATAAGCATTATAATTATATTTTTGCTAGTATGAAATTAAGGTCAAAAATAAAGTAAGCAGTAAACTGCAATCAATAGGAAACCAAATAGAATAAAATACCAAAACCAAAAAAACAAAAAAAAAACGACATCAAAGTGAACTTTGGTGAACACAAGAAAAAGGACTTGCAATGAAATTAAACCAACTTAAATGGTAACTTAATTAAAGGATATTCAAGGCTGCAGCTACACAGATTTTTAACTAGTTTATAAGTAATTTTATTTGCTCATTTGCGGCAGATTTGCGGTGTCGAGGGACTTACAATACTGCAATGAGTATTTAATGTGAATTTTAATAAGCAAACGAAAATGCTAGGACCAAAAAAAAACAAAACAAAAAAAAAATGAAAATAAAAATAAAATAAAAACCTGACTGACTTATCGGAAAGTTGCCAAAGTAAGGCACTAAAAGTATAAAAGAAATTAAGTAACGAAAAAAAAAATTGAAAAAAAAATAGATAAAAAAGAAACTGTAAGAAGTCTATAAAGTGAAATTTAATATATTTCAGGAGGATAACAATTTAAAGACTTGAAAATATAATAAAGTTAAAAATAAACTCCAGAGTAGGGGGTATTAAACAGGATTATACACATACACAGGAAGAATTCACTAAAGGCGCATTGTTTGCGAAGAGAAATAAGGAAATACTTAGACGAAAGTATTTAGAAATTGTTTGGAAATTATGTTTAGTTACATTGTGGGCTGGGTGCAGGCGGCTGAAGAGAAAGCCAACCGTGAGGTGAAAGTGTAGTAAAAGTTTTAATGAGCAGAAAAAGTGTTGGGAAGTAGATATCAGTTAAACCTAACTGTGATGTGTCTACTAACAGCTTGAAAGTCAATATCGTGTTGCTTGGAAGAATTTGCTGAAAAGCTAATCAGTTTATTTAACAAACTTTTGTACTGCATTAAAGAACAAACTTCAATCAACTTAAGCGATTTAACATAGGCCGTACAGATACATTCTCAACGAGTAACGTTACTTAGTCAACTTATTAGAGCTGCACAACAAAAAAGGCATCAAGATTGCTTTAAAGTCACAGAAAATTATATGCTGTAACATATTAACAGGATATATAAAAAACATTTAATTAAAAGATAATAAAAACGGTAATATGCTTTGAAATAATATAGCATACACTGGTCCATAGCAAGAAATACAGTATGGTAAGTGTCTTTTAGATAAAATAAATAGGCTCGACTATACTTTTATTACCATTCAGTCATGTTATGACAGAAAGCCAATGAATAAATAACATATGTACATGTATAGGGTTTCAACTCAGACACTCAGGTTCGTCTTGACTACATGATTGAGCAAACCGATTGTACACCAAGTTTACAATAGAAAGATTTTTTTTATTATAGACTTTGATCAATCGACAGTAGAACAAATACACAGAATATGCGACAAAATCGAAAGAGTACTTGAACAACAAAAAATTTGCACTGCAGTATTCCTAGACGTATCGAAAAACTTTGATAAAGTTTAACACAAAGAACTTGTACACAGGATTCAACAGTAGTTTTCAAAACAGATATTCGAAATTATTTCATCCTACATAGCTTGCCGATTCTTCAGAGTAAAATGTAGTAGTGCGTACTCAACACTTGAACCACTTAAAGACGGAGTACCGCAGGGAAGTACACTTGGCCCAATCCTATAACAAATTTACACAGCCGACTTGCAAGTCCCACCAGAAAGTGTCATTGCAACTTCTGCAGATTATACAATCCTTAATACTGGAGATATTGAAGCAACGCAACATTCTAATAATCAAAAAATGGAATTCCCCATTGACTTGCAAGTCCCACCAGAAAGTGTCATTGCAACTTCTGCAGATGATACAATCCTTACTACTGGAAATACCGCAGCAACACAACATTCTATTAATCAAAAAAATTTTAAATTGAGCTCAACCAAATGAAATCCGTCCATGTAAATTTCACAGACAAAAAAATCGACTATTTGCCGATAATTATGTCCAGTTCTCGAAAACAATACTCAAATGATATGAACATATAAAGAAAGAACGAGTTCAGCTAGAATCAAAATACAGAAACTTATGTTGGCTTCATGAGAAAAAATCAACGGTCTCTCCAAGCAACAAATTAATAATATACAAGCAAGTCTTAACGCCGGTGTGGACATATGGAATACAGTTATGCGGATGTGCCTCAAAATCATCCACTCAAATCATCCAAAATTTCCACATTAATAGAATAAAATTATTAACACATTCATCGCCAACCTCAATAATCTCAATCACAGATGCATTTCATTAATACTCACTTTTGGAACCACAAAGTATCTATCTAGATAA